GCAGAGTACTCATCGAGCGCAAACCCACACGGCAGATAACTCACCGAGTGCGAGTGCCAGTGCACCACTCTGTAGGCAACTGTTGCCCAGCATCAGCGCCATCGGAACGGATGTGTATCGCGAAGCGTGACGTTCGAGCAGTCGTTGTACCTGCACCTCGTCCTTCGCCCTGTCAGTTGGTGTGCAGTTGTATATTGATTGTCGGAATGTATTGCACTAGAGGGTGAACCTGGGGCCTAATACGTACACAAGAGATACCTCTGATGCGACCAGAGTTCGTAGTATGTACCTGGGCAGTGTAAGTGTACTTTGGTACCAGGTGTTAGTAGGCATGCGTTGCATGGGATCACACACGCCACATTCCCAATACGATGTCTCCTGTCGAGCGGGTGAGATGCGCACAGACTAACCTACCTTCTAGCGAGGTCGACGATGGTAGTGCTTTGTGCAGACAACGGGCAAGGGCCATGAGCAACCATCATGCCAGTGCGACAACGGCGTAGTGTATGTGCACTGCCAGAGACTCACGCATGCACAACCGCACCACAAAAGACAGCGAGCAACAAGCGGCGTGGTGGTGGGACTGATACACGCACGAACATCTGTACCTACAGTTGCATCAGATGCAGACCCATCAAACTCATCAAAGACGACAGCCAAGGCATGCCATCGCGCATACAGATCAGTGGTTGACATTTCGGATGGACATTTGTGCACATGCGATCATTGCACCCCATAATTCAATGTTTGCAGCAGCTTCGCGTTGCGCCGCAGTATGGATAGCTGCAACCAAACTGGACCACCAGTACAGATAGTGCCTCACATACCAACGCTGGATTTCCGAATAGATGTTGGCTGGGCCGTAGATCTGCGGCGACCTCTTCATATGCGCCTTCAGACCCGTCATGAAGACATTGGATTCCTGAAGGTAGAAGGCAAGCGCTGCATGCGGGAGTGTAGATGAAGAGAGCAATTGGTATGCAATGATCCCTTGATACTCTCAGTAAGCCCTAATTAAACCCATATTAATAATTTACTGTTATTCGCAATGGCGTGCCCCGACAAATAGTTTACACATGTTGGACTTACTCCTCGGTAGGAGTTCCTATTGTATGGTCACAACCAACATCTAATACTGGAATATTGATATGGGGTTGAATCCGAAGGGTTACACCCACACATGCACGACCTACCCATCGACAGCAGTTTGAATTTGTGTTTGTCGTTGTTCTGTGTCATGTTCGCAGGTGCTACCAGCAGCGCATCAACAATCCGTCCGCGCTCAATCAACAGGCGTGCCATCTGAGAAGGATTTGCGATTGCAACAACCCCAAGGATGTACTACAGTCAGATATACGTATTGGATATAGGCGGATTGTATGACAGATTGCCGGTGCAGCGTTCATAATATGGATTATATGGGGAAGTGATATGAAACATACTTCAGCGAAGGTGAAAGCCATGGAGGTGCAGGTAATTCAAAATATATGCGAGGGTCGTTCGTCGCGTAGATGTGACAGGGAGAGGTAAATTAGTCACCAAACCATGAGAGTAATTTAAATATATATATATGCGGGTCATTTGTCGCGTAGATCCGATAAGGGAACGTGAAATAGCCTTAGAAGACTAAAGGTACTTCGACATATATGCCGTGGGTTATTCTTAGCATAGATGCGATCAGGCCATAACCAGAACATCGGAGATAGCGTCCCGACCCCCCCCCAAAAAAAAAAAAAAGATATAATAATAAAAATGACATACTACGATAAGAGCGATTGGCATTCGAGGCACGAGTTTGTTCGTGCACTATTTTTGTGAAGCACATACACCATCGAACTCGCTCAGATGAAGTCATCAATGCACAGACTGTCCACAGCAAAAGCAATGTAGCCTATGGCGCACTTACACTCGGCTGTGCGGAGGGTGAACGTAATAATGCCAGTGGTGTGTTTGATTAAGCATGAGTGGAACAGGGCAGGCAGTCAGGTAGACACATCACAGACACATGCCTGTAGTATCACGGTTGACCATTCTGCTAATTTCATGGGGAAGATGATGCTGCCGTGTTCCTCGATCATCAGGTGATAGTACCTGTTTTTCATCTGTAGAGTGATAAATGTTACAATCAACGTTTAATTTCTGAGACACTCTGACATCGATTTACATAATGCAGGTACGCCAACTAGTTAAGACGCTGAAGTGGATCGTATCTTAGTATACAAATACACTTTATGT